TCGTTAGAAGCAACCGATGGGTGAGGGGTAGCGTCCGCGCTCTCGAACTCAAAGGTTGAGGGTTCTACTCCCAGCAGTTCTGACATATTAATTGGATGAAAGTACTAGTCAACGGTGGAAAGAGTACTTCGGGTAAGGAGGGCAAAGTTTTTGGTTCGAAAAACTGTACAATTTTAGCGTTCTATGCTGTTTTTCATGCTTGTCCGGAAGGACAAATTTTTGTCCCATTTTGTCCTGTCCTGAAATTGAAACATAAAGACATGTCCTAGGGACATTCTTAGGACACACAAATAGTGTCCGAAACGATGTCCTATACATGTCTTGTCTTATCAAGTCCCTCGGCTCGTCAGGGTAACTCTCCCCATTTTTGCTCTCAACAAAACGTTTCATTATTTAGGCTTGTCACCCGGAGTGCCTTACCTCATGAAAATCTAAATGTATGCAAAATATAGTGTGTACATGCTTATGTGTGAGATGATAGTGTTGAGTACATAGCCAAAGTGTGAACACACTTTCGACACTGAGCTCTCTGCTTACTACATGTTCACGTACTCACTATTTCCTGGACACATGTACAGGGTGGGTGATCCGCGCCGTTTTTTTTAACGCTTATACTGTCCCGGATTCACGCGTGCGGGCGGGCTTGCCTGCCGTCGCTCACTATGGCGCCTTACGAGTACGCAACCCGTCCGCACTTAAGAATCCGGTACAGTATAAGCATTAAAAAGAGACTGCGCGGATTGTTGTATTCATAAGTTGGTAGCCGGCCGAGCCCTTCCCTCTAACCAACGCCACCTAGCGGCAACAGTAGTTATGCTCGGATCTGTCTATACCCCACACGCGCCAGTCTTCGTGGAGTCCTCACTCAGTATCTATCGTTACAATCAGATATCTGTATTCTGTGATAATAAATTAGTTTCATCAAACAAGTATACTTTCTCTAACAACACGACTCTACTACACGGATCACCCACCCTGTAGGTATTCACACGAAAAAAAGAAAATTAGTCGTCACAATTAATAAATTAGGTAGTTTTGGGATAGGCAAGAAATTCGCTGTGGCACCTAAGAGATGGTAGCCACAGGCAAGAGTTAGCTGCCACAGCAAAGCTGTCGCCTGCAGGAGAGATCCGGTTTGTTCTGGCAGCGAAACACCCTATTAGTTGTCAGAACAAACAAACCGGTTCGCTGCGGCAGCGACACCTTCGCTGCGGCAACTAACTATTAGCTGCCACAGCGAATATGAGATTATCTATCCAAAAATTAGCTAATTTGTTAGTTGTGGGGACTAATTCTTTTTTTCCCGTGCAGGAGACGCGTAATGTACACACTTTCCAGGGTACCCTGACCCTGTCCAGCCTAAAACTGCACTTTGCTGCCCCCAGGCCATTCACATCCTTATCAACAACGCCGGGGTGATGGCGTGTCCGAAGGCCTACACCGAGGATGGACACGACCTGCAGTTCGGCGTCAACCACCTGGGCCACTTCCTGCTGACAACGTTGCTGCTCCCGCGACTCAGGGCTTCGGCGGGCACCACGGCTGACGGCGAGCCCGACCCCGCCAGGGTCGTGAACGTCAGCTCCGTCGCCTATAGCTGTGAGCGCTATGCGAAAGACTAGGATACAAATGAGTGCCGTCTCGAGTGCCGTTCATTAGCAGCGTCTTATGCTATATTCAATTCAAAATTTCTCCACGCTGGGAGGAGGCGATCGCTCACCGTCGCGTGAGCCTGCCCTCGGAGAGGAGCCGCAGCTCGAGCTGTGGGGAGGGGAATCTTCCGGGAACACAGTGTGTAGGCTATTTCATGGCATTTCACTGAAATTTAGTTTTTTTCCTCATTTATTTCGGATTATTTCGTGGTCACGCTGCGCTGCACGTGTTTAGCAGCGAAAATATGCAACTGTATACTGTAAATGTAGCTGTAATTAATGTCATAGCCGTTTAAACACTGCATGTTAACGCATAATAGAATGCTTAAGGATTCAGGGTGTACTATATTGGAGGTCTTTCGCCACAATTTCATCTCCTATTTCGCGTCTTTTCCACAATATTTCGCATATGGGGTGATGGGATGGGGCTCCCGCTCGCTTTTTAGCCCGCCCTTCTGCTTTAAAAAGGTATCTAGTGGGCTTATGCAAACGACCTAGTGTCTGTCTCTGTGTGTGTGTCTGTCTGTCTGTTCCACTAGAAGGAGATGCGCTAGAGACTTCAAATTTTCAGAGTATCTTAAGGGTCACTCCTAAAAACGAAACGCCTACACGGCAAATCCTGGCAACCACCCCTAAGGGGCTGAAAGGGGGTATCAAAGTAAAGAAGGTAGGTCAAAAACGTCCGATTTTTTTTTATGATCGCCAAAGGGGTAACTCGTGAAAGTAGAGCCCTTTGGGCTAACATTGGGTCTATCCCTCACCGTTTGGGCGCTGGAGGGTCTTGTTTTGGCGAAAATAAGCTAAAAATTGCTGCAGTGAACATAAGTTGTAGAAAAGGGCCTCAAAGCGCAAAAGGGTTATACTAACCCGCACCCCCCCTTAAAAAAAACGTTTTCCAAGCAGAAGGGTGTGTTGTAGTCACGGTGCATCACCGTTACCTTCCTTTCTCATGGGTAAGGGGCAAATTTTAAAGACGACGGGTTTTAGCGGGTCTTTATTATTATGTGATTATGTTCTTCAGCAAATTGCGTAAATGAAATGGTCGGGCCTGCAGCCCGACCCTCGCCGCTGGCAGGCCAAGCAGGCCCGGCTTCAGCCGAGCGGAGTTGCTGGCGCAGCGGAGCGGAGCTGGCAACCTCGTTTGGCGGAAGGGCGGGCCTGCTTCTTTAAGTTGAGCGTATTATGGCGTGGAATTATAATTCATGTAGTCTCGTCAGCAACAAAAATGTTTCAAAGCTCGTTTGTTTTGTTTTTACCCTTGTTTTTGTCCAGTTTCCCGGATCGACTTCGAAGACTTACGCTTCGAGCACGGCTACCGACCATTGCTCGCGTACTCCCGGAGCAAATTGGCCAACATGCTTTTTACGCGTGAACTTGCCAACCGGCTAAAAGGTTAAGCAAAAAGTGTTCTGTAACAGAATGAATTATCGAAACCCAGTCCAAGAATTCTATGAGCTGCGCACACTTCGACACCTTGGAATAAAAGGCACGCAGTTCAACCCAACCGTGGATCCGGGATCCACGCAGTTCAGCCGCTGGATCCGAGATCCAACTGCGTGGATTTCGGATCCAGCGGTTGAACTGCGCGCCTTCACTGGTAAACCAAGTGTTTAATGTTAAACGCCAATTGGTGTTTAAGTTATTCAAGTGTGCATTTTCTATTGTGGTGTTTAACTAGGTTAAACGTCAATTGGTGTTTAAACTTTAAACACTTCCGAAAATTATAGTAGCTGCTCGCCATATGGTTCCCATAGATTTGTGTGTGTCCAAGTGTGCAGAATCTAAACGTTTACAAAAGTTTAAAATGTGCACACTACGCAAGTGTGCAACTTGAGCTTAAAATGTTTAAAATCATAACTTAAACACGTTGGTGTTTAAATTATGCACACTTGTTTCACCAGTGTTTTATTCCAAAGGTGTCGACTTGTTGGGAAAGTGACTTTTCGTACATGTCGTGCGAAAACGTACGGATTTACGCACGAAATCAGACATAAATGTGTATAATTTTGTGCACATGCATGTACGAAAAAGTCGGAAAAAGTATACATTTATAAATAATGCACAAATATTTCTGTACAAACATGTACAATTAAACCCGTTATTTTTTTATAATTTGCAAAAATCCGTACGCTCTAATCACTCCATACGACATGTACGAAAAAGTAAAAGGTGTCCAGGCTAAGACATGGCAGTGCCTTGGGTTGCCCCTAGCGGGGAAGTGACAGCTCCCGCCTCCCGCGCTTGTCCCCCGATATCTGCCCCGCGCCTACAGCCCCTGTAGCCACAACATAGGCAACCCAGCGTACCGGCATGTTTTAGCCTGGACAGGACACCCGGTACATTTCAGTTAGTCTGCGTGGAATCCCAAATTCTAAATGCGAGGAACAAACTTGCACCCTTTCTGGATGTGCACAAAAAACGTTGCTTGAAAGTGACATTCCCAGCCCTCTTGGCCGACAACATGGCCAAGACTCAATTCACTCTTAGTCCCTTACAAACAGCGGTGTTCGTATTACGAAGAATTTGTTTGTAACTTACAAAGGATCTAAAGCAGCCATATTACGAACGATTTTCCTTCATATTACGAACACCCCCCATTCGTAATACGAAAAGCTTCGTTTGTAATACAAACCAGGCTCTTCGTAATAGAAACAATTTGTTTGTAATACAAGTACTCCAAATTATTTGTACGTTACGAAGGGCAGTTGTTCGTAAGGAACTTACAGTGTTTACTTTTGGGGACGTGAAGCGTTGTCTGTCTAACTTCTGATACTCGCTGTCCGCAGAGCACTCCACACCCGGTGTCACGAGCTACTGCGTGCACCCCGGGGTCGTTGCGACCGAGCTGTTTGAGCACTTCGACACGTTCATCATCCCGGGGACAAAGTTCTTCCTGGACAACGTGGGACGCTTTTTCATCAAGACGCCGCGGCAAGGAGCACAGACAAGTCTTTACTGCGCCGTGAGCAGAACAGCGGCGCATCAGTCCGGCCTGTACTACGTGTAAGACGATAGAAAATTGACAAACGCTTAGCTTCTCTAGCAGGCACTTTACTTTTACTTACCAGTAACATTAAATGTCGCTCATGTAGTGAGCATTTGTTTTTGAAAACATTCGACAAAACTTGTGCGCTTTAAAATTACCCACCGAAAGAAACGTGATAAACTTATCGTTTGGATCCAGGGACAGGGGGATCCCTTTCCCATCTCGTGTGTACTCATTGTGTGTAGGGTGGAGCCTCAACGGACCATGAAATTTTCTACTCTTCTCCCTACTGATTGAGTGAGCACCTGCAAGTTGAAAACTTGCAAGTGTGCAACTAGGTAGCTGTGCACTTGCAGGTGCGGAACTCGGTAGCTGTTCAATGCACACACTTGAGTTTTCAGTGCAACTGTGCAACTCAGTAGCTTCGCTCTTGCAGGTGTGCAACTCTAGTGTTCAGCCGACTTCCAACACAACACAACAGTCAGCGTCCAAGAACCTAGAGAATCGTTTCTTTGATAGACGTAAAGAAATACTTTCTTCCAATCAAAGAAGCCCCCGCAGATTCAAAGAAGCCTTCTTTGATCCAAAAATTAATATTCCTTTGAATCAAAAGAGGCTTTCTGATTTAAAGAAAATATTTCTTGACATCTATATCAAAGAAATACTGGCCAATTTTCTTTGTTTCTGGGTTTCACGATTTTCTGGGTGTAGGAAGTGTCCAAACGAAGAGTTGCACACTTGCAAGAAGTACACACCAACCGATTTGAACGCATGCAAGTGGAGTGGAACACTTGCAAGTATTGAACTTGCAGTTGCACAGTTACAAGTGTTAAGCAGTTTCCCCACTTGGTTTATCAGTGCTTTTTGTTCGTTTACAGGGACTGCAGCGTTTCGACGCCCTTTGCCATTGGCAGAGACGACGAGGCCGCCAAGCGGCTGTGGGACGTAAGTTGCGAGCTGGTGGGGCTACGTGGTTACGACCCGCTTGGCACTGAAGACCCACCCACTTCACTGTTCACCTAGCCGCAAAGAGGGGACGCCATCTGACAGTATTACTGGTAGCCGTATGTGTTCGCAATGTCACTTAAAAGTGTTGTATTATTGCAGTATGCAGTAATTGCTGCAATTTTTGGCCGTATTTTATGAATAGTTATCTGAAAAAAAAAACTACATTAACACCGTAAAAATTCATTTCAAATTACTGAATTGTTTGCGGACACTTATTTTTAGCGGAGATCAGGAAAGAGATAAGGAAGAATCGTTTGCTTGGACCATGAACTCTGTGAAAAAGTGTCGTACCGGGGGTACAGTAAAGTTTTCCATGGAACGTGTCAACTAATATTCAAAATTGTAAAATTGACACTCTGGAAACGCAAGTGTGTACTTGAATGCAGAATTTTCTGCAAACCTACATGGTACAATCCGTGCGTATCGACTTTGGAATCGAATAACGATCAACACGGTAAAAACGAGGTCTCACATTTTGAAAGGAAAAAGGAAAACTTCGCGGAACTGCATTGTTTTGAGGAATACTCCTCAGATTTCGAGGACTTTGTCCTCCAAAACTGTGGGATTTTTCCATAATTTTTGACAATTTAAATTTTCACCTTAATTGAGGTGAGCTCGGGCTCGGAGCAGTTTTCCTCAAATATGGAAGTGTCTCGAAGGCAGTCGGTCTCGAAGTTTTCCCCTTTACCTTCAAAACTAAGACATTCTTTTTAGCGTAAAGAGATGGGGGGTTGTACCGACGTCTTTGGACATGTTTTGAAAATAATTACTACCGCTCATTCGTTGTTTCTACGTCACATGGTTGCACCATACTCTAGAAAAGTAATACAGTTTGAGGTACACTGTTGTAGTACAATGAGGATGAGTCAACCGTTTTAAATAATTAGCTTTTAATACTTTCCCAGGTAGCACAAACATATCCAGGGTTTATCGCCCGGCAATCGCCGGCGATTTTTATTTTTCGCCGCGATATCGCCGGCGATGTTTGACGGATATGAGGTTTGGCACAAATAGCACTGTCGCCTCGATGTCGCCTGATGACAAAGATTCGACAACTTGGGGGCGACATCGCTCGAGCACTATCGCCGCGACGAAGCAAGCGATGAAATGGCGACAGACTTTTCAACGGGTCTCGAACGATGTATGTCGCCACTATAGGGAATCGATGTACATAGTAATTGATTGCCGATGTAGTATCGCCTGGCTATCGCTAGTCTTTCCGTTTGTGCATGTGCCCGTGGCGAGAACTTTGAGTTATCCGAGCGATACAAAAGTTAAAGTTATGTCAAAAATGTCGTCGCCTAGACATCGCCACGTTTGCAAACCGGCGGTATATTTTAGGCGACGAAATAGCGATATTGAGGCAATATATATTCGGAACTATAATTCGATAAAAAATTGAAAGAATTTACCTTGGCTAGACTCGAACCACATACCTTTGTGTTACTGGACAGCTGCCTTGACCATTCAGCTACGGGGTACCCGCTGAGAGCCGGGCGTCAGCTACCGGTGTGCCTCTCTTTCTCGGGGACTTTCCCGCCCGCGAGCGACAGATCAGCAGACCAGCGAGTCGGCTGAGACATCTTTCAGATATCCCCAAGTCATCGCCAGGGCGAAAATGCATGTGGAGGACTTAGCGAAATTCGTCAGCCAGGCGATACTAGTAGCTTGCTAACCAGAGAATATCTGACAGATATCCGTACATGTGCGTATTTGTTGTTAATATTGGAGATACAGAAAGAATAGCGCCTCGATATCTACCCCGCATCAGTGCTACGATCATGTCGCCGAGTTATCGCCACATTGCTCTTGAGGCGCTAGCCTAGGTGTTCTCTCGCCAGGTCAAGATATCGCCAGCTTATCAAAATATTTCATGCAAGCAATGATTTTTTTTCATCTGGTGAGCGACATACTTTATCCCATATCGCGGCGATAACTCTAGGCACCGTAAGTTAATTTGGTGGAAAGTTGCACAGCGCATAGTTATCGGAAAATTATCGCCTGAGCGTCATCTAATGACGGATATTCTAGCGATAGAGTTTTGGCGAGCGTTAATTTGATCCTATTTCCATATCTACTAGTTATCGTGTCACCATCGCCAGGGCGAAAACGCCATCGGTAGGTCGAGGCGATAAACGTAAGCGACAGCATGGCGACATCTATTACATTTTATTTAGAGAATATCGAACAGATATCCACAAAAGTATGTATTAAAGTTGACATCGACAGGATGTCGCCTCGCTCTCCGCCAGGCGATAGTGTTTAAACGATATCGCCAAGTCATCGCCGCTCCAACCTCCAGGCGACTCATCATCGCCCGATATCGCCGTGCTACATGGGATAAGGCTGAAATTTATTCTGTACACATACAAGAAGTCTCATAAAATATTCACACAATTTTCATCTCTTATTACTGGGTGTCCAAAAGAATACGCGGCAGCTCGATGGGTTGCCTACGCACTGGCTTGCAGGTGCGAAGGGCGCGGGGGCGAGCGGTGGAGGTGGTGGAAGGCAGCCGACTACCTCCCGCCACCACCACCGTTTCCCTTTGTCCTCCGCGCCTGCACGTAGGTAACCCATCGAGTTACCGCGTATTCTCCCGGATACCTGGTATCTATCAATATTTCAATACAATTTTGCGTATGTGATGTGAACGTATGTGATTTACATGATGTACACAGATATTCTGACTTAGGTTCGACAGACTGCTTTTTTTAAATCAATGTTTTGAAATAGGTTAATAAAGTAATCATCTTGATTATATATAAAATATTGTTGTTGGGAATTCTACTATTTCCTATACATCTATGGGAAGTAAAAATTCCTATTAATGCATAGGAATTTCCTATTTGGGAAAAGGTGTATGGAAAAAGTGCAAAGTGTATAGGAAAATCTCCATAATTGTATGGAAAAATTCCGTTACGTGTCTGGTAGGCATATTTTCCTTAACATGTATAGGAAATTTACTAGATGCATATCTTCCTACCTTACACATCTCGGTCTGGGCGGTCATTTTATGAGCTTACTTCTGACGCCTGACTCCACACCACACATGGTTAGACACATTGGGCTTTTGTTTACAAGCAGTTTAAACGCTGATAAAAGAATTTCTGCTGGATTTAGTCTCGTGAGGTGAGGCCCGTAATTCTGTCCTCACCTCATCTGAGGCACGGGCCTCACAAATTTTGAGGGCTCTGATTGGCATGCCAAGCTTGGATAGCCAATCACAGTTTTGAAGCCAGTGCCTCAGCTTTTTACCGCGAAAAGAACATTACTTGCAAGGGAGTTTAACTATCCGGAAACAGCAAGTGTGCTGAAAGAAGTGGGTACTGACCAAACTGTTTCGCGCCGGCCAAACACACGGCTGCAGTTGCTGCGGCCCGATCAGCGACTGGGCGGCGAGCTAAGCGGAGCCGAAATTCTGCTGGATTTGGGAACCTTTCTGTACTCTGGTGTAAAACATGTACCACGATCGGAGCATGCGCCGCTGCGGTCGATGTTTGCCTGACGCAATCGTCCGTAAGCTTAAGGTGCCGGTGCCTATCAGTAGGCGAACCCGCGGCACGTGCTAAAGAACATCCGCCTGTAACAGCACTTTGCTGCCCCAAGGGCCAGGCCATTCACATCTTTATCAACAACGCCAGGGTAGTGGCGTGGCGTGTCTGAGGGCCTACACCGAGGATGGACACGACCTGCAGTTCGGCGTCAACCACCTGGCCCACTTCCTGCTGACGGCGTTGCAGGAAGAAGATGGACAATGTTACAACGTACTGGGGGAGCGGACACTGTTGAGGTGTCACTGGGAGATCGGAGAATGTTGAAGCGTCCCTGGGAGGTTGGACAACGTTAATAGGACCCGTCGAGCTGTAAGTTGCATACGTGCAAAAGACCAACTGCAAGTTAAATATTTGCAGATGTTCAACCTGGTAGTTCACTGACAAGTGTACTACTCAGTAGCTGTGCACTTCCAAGTGTGCAACTAGGTAGCTGTGCACTTCCAAGTGTGCAACTCGTTTGTTTTACACTTACAAGTGTTAGACAGTCACACCCTTAATTTCCCAATGCTTTTTAGTCCGTTCACAGTGACTGCAGCGTTTCGACACCCTTTGCCATTGGCAGGGACGACGAGGCTGCCAGGCGGCTGTGGGACATGAGTTGCGAGTTGGTGGGGCTACGAGGACTCCCTTGGCAATGAGGACCCATCCACTTCAGTGTTCACCTAGCCGCAAAAGGGGCGACATTTTAGACAGTCCCTTGTGGTCTGTCTTTTCCCGAAGGTAAAAGTTTCCAGTTTTGACAAAGATGGCCGATTAACGTTCCAATTTTGATAGATTCTCTCTAGGAGCGGGCGTTTTCTCCGTCCGTCCGGGGCGCTCTATTCGTCCCCGGTAGCAGGTCGCTGCCATCGCTCTGGCTGTGTTATATACATAGCGCCCTTACCCCTTGCTTCGCGCCGGGCCATGGGGCCAGCCGACCCCCACTTGAGCCTCTCGAGGCAAGCTGCGTTGCGCCTCGCGCCCCACGCCCCAGCCCCATTTAGAGCCCCAGCTGAAAAAACCATGTGCAAATCCACGTGGATATTGCGTTTTTGACGTGGTTCCACGTGGATTCTACATATTCCCACGTGTTCCCATGTGTATTGACATGGGTTTTGAATCTTTCCACGTGTAAATCCTCATTCCCACGTGTGTTCAGTGAAAGTCCACGTGGATTTTGTATTTCCCACGTGGATTATCGAATCTCCATGTGGATTCGGCAATTTTCCACGTGGAGTTTCTATATTCCACGTGGGTTTCGTCCCTACCACCTGGGGTTTCTATACACCACGTGTGTTTCTTTTATTTCCACATGGGGTTGTGTTTTACCCACGTGGGTTTTCTATAGCCGACCGTAACTTTAAATTGGGGTGGCTAACAAATATATTGCCTACACTCATAGAAAAGATAGATTGCATAGTACACGGTCATGTGATAAAAACTAGAGTTGTTATTTTTAATTGTGCTGCTATCTTCTAAACTAATGGCCGTATTGGAAATCTGAGTCCATATTCGGCGTTTTAAGCCAAATTTCACTCGGGGAAGTTGCTCTAATTCATGTCTTATGACACACTTGGGACTCAGGACTCTTGTCTTTGGATCTCCACATGGGTGTGGGCAACCACGTGGTACTCGAAAACCCCACGTGGAATTTCTGAAAATAACCATGTGGGTTTTTACAAAAACCCACATGGAAAGTAACCAATTACCTCATGGAAAATTTACCACTTGGGAAACTTATAGAAAACCCACGTGGAAAGTCTTCGGAAACCCAGGTGGATTTGTGCGTGGATTTTTCAGCTGGGGCTCAATCGGCACCGGGCGCCACATGGCCCGTCTATTTGACAAGTGATACCTAGCCTCAAATTTTAAAGTTAAACCACAGCGCTCTGAAATATGAAATGTGCTTGTTTTCGCGCGCGCAGAAATTACGAATCCGGCAAAATTTGAATGGTGGTTCTAGCAGAATTTGCTGATTTTCGTTGTTTTTGATTTTAACCACAGCTTCCCGTAACATGAAAAAGCGATCCTGGGTAAGGTGGTAACCCGTTTTGATAAAGGTTGCCGCTGTCGGATATTGCCGATTAACGTTCCGGTTTTGATAAGAAGATTTTCAGTCCTATTTTGATGCTTTATTGAATTAAAAAATTCAAGCCGTCGCGCGCCTGTATCTATTTTGAATTTGCTTTTGAAGCCGGACTGTCTCGTTACCGGCCGGCAGGCCAGTTTTTTAGACAGTCCCTTGTGGTCTGTCTCTACCCGAAGGTAAAAGTTTTCAGTTTTGATAAAGATAGCCGATTAACGTTCCAGTTATGATAAGCCGATAGATGATTTTGATTAAGATAGCCGATTAACGTTCCAGTTATGATAAGACGACTGACGATGATATTATAGATTCTCTGTGGGGGCGGGCGTTTTCTCCTTTCCGTTTTTAACTATTTCTAGCATTTTTTGGCCGTTTTTTAACCATTGGTTTCTTAAAACTTCACTTACACGGAACTAAGATTCAGAAGAGAGGTGGGGAAGAACCATTTGCTTGGACCATGAACCTACTTTCGTGTCCGTACTGTACATGCACGAAAAATAATTTCCTCAATTTAAGGTACACTGTCGTATAATCAGGATAAGTCAAATGTTTTAAACAATTCGCTTTTAATACTTTCATATTTATAAGGCTGACATTCATTCTGTACACATACAAGAAATCTTATAAAATATTCACACAATTTTCATCTCTTATTGTCTATCAATATTTAAATACAATTTTGCTAGAACGTATGTGATTTACATGATGTACACATATTTTCTGACTTAGGTAAAACGGACTGATTTTTAAAAATCATTTTTTTTGAAATTGGTTAATAAAGAAATCATCTTGACTATAGTGAACTATTTGAGTTCAGAAAACAAAAACAATTAACATTCACAGTTAAACTTAACAAACCACAACTTGATCATGAGGTGATATAGCTTGTGCTCCGACTTGCAATCATTCGGTCCAATCTAGCTACCTCTCATTACCACAATACTTCCTCTAAATACTCTTAAAACATTGAGTAACAGTCTAACATTTCAAATCATTACAGGATGATTGATAAAAACATAATAATACTCTTTATACCATTGAACATCGGGTAAACAATTGCTTACGCTGCTCAATCGTATTTAACATTAGTTTTCGCATTAACAAATATCAGGTTAACAACCAAGAATGGGCAGAATATAATATCACATGATTCCCTTTCTTTAACGATTTTAAGTACGGTAACAAAGAACGGTTACGTAGACCCTGATGGGCCCAAGGACATTTTAAGACTGAACATAGCAAGTCAGACTTCAAAAATTTCCTAAGTTGTCTTCAAGTTCTCACGCTACGAGAGATACCTCTCTCTGCAGAGGTTACATTTACTAACGTCCCAGAAACTCATATGTCAGCATGTGTCAGAAGTCCAAGTCTGCTTTAATGCTCAAAGGCTTCTCAGATTATATATAAGAATGTAAATAAATTTTCGACTATGCATGCGTTTACTTCATCTGCCAACAAATTTTTGAGTTCGCGACGCACCTGTTGTCAACCTGATCAATAAAAATGAACCATAGCAACTCTGTAGGCTATAACATCCCTGGCTTCACTTAAAGAGCAGACAAAACTTTATTTTCAGATCCGTTTGGATAAATTTAACTCTAGTCTCAATCTGACAGTTACGCACCATAATTTAGTATTCAGAATGTAATTATGACTTTATAATATGATTGTTTTTAAGTGTTAGGTGTAGAGATTTAAGAATAACGTTTCTAAATGGACTTTCAAAACCGAAGTGTTGATACTTTCTTAAAGCACGCTTTGGAGAAATGGAAGAAAAAATAGAACAATCAGAGCAGTATTTCGGCATGAAACAATTTTGGTAACGGCATGCTTCAAAAATTAGTCGCGACACATGATAGACAAGGGTTGCGAAAGACACACACAGAGAGACATAGATTTAGAACGTAACAAAGAAATCTTTAGGGGCTGTTTGTAGTCTGTAAGGACAAACATACACGTGCATCGAATAGCCACATTACATTTTAAGTGCCGCAGTCTCTCTCCATGAGAAGATGCAGCTGGCACTAAAAGCCTTCAACTGAGCAAATAAATTTGAACATTATGACACTAGAATAATATTAAAACAGAAACAACAGAAAAAGGTGTACACCTCATGTCCTTTGGCTCATCAGGGGCGTACCCTAAATATACAGCAGAGGTTAAAGTACAAGACTACTGTTTCAATAAAAATCTGAAAGAGATTATTATCACTTTTCTTGAAACCATTACCAAGACATGCTGCAAACTCCGAACGCCACATTCAGTTTTAAAATAGTTTCAAACGGAAAGGGCGCACATTTATGAAATATTCTGAGTGTGCCAGAATAAGTACCCTTTGCTTTTCAAAATAGTGAACATATAAGTACCAACAATGAACTTGTCCGCGTGATCAGCGAAGGAAATTGGAACCAGATGGTGGAAGACGAGCAAGCTTGGAAGTTTTTGTGCTGATAATTGACAGCTTGAACAAATAAACGGCCTAGCCATAGTTCACATTAAGAGGGGACCAAAACAAATTCTGCCTACAAAACACACTTAACAAGCTCGGCCAACGTCAACGCAAAACATATACATTGACCGTTTTAGTGATGGACCATTAACCTCTCGGAATGGTTTGTGACCAATTGGAAATGGCACTAATTTGGAAGAGATACAATTTCAAATACCCTGTCTATGTTGTAAATTTTGGAGTTTTGGCGGTGAATAATTTACTCGAAATGTATTTATTCTACAGTGGGCGTGCAAAAAAATAAACCGCAACAATAAATTTTGAATTGGGCTTTAGAAGCGATCGCTACACCTTGCAATTACAGGACAGACCTAGATCTTGTGCTCACCATGAATCAGAAATTCTCGGGGAAAACCGTATGCAGTAAAAGGGTATACAGCACAAATTTAAATACAATTCCCGTCAGTTCAAGTTGACCAACAATATTGTCTTTAAACAAATATAGTTGCTGACTTTGCAACAATACGCGAGATGTCTATCAATGATCACCGAACATTCTGTAGTTCTTATCGAGCATTTTGCGTCACGTAGGAGATCCTACGTTAAAAAGAAACTAAAACGTAAAATAACGCAAAATGCAGTAGTCAATTCTGTTCCCACTTAACAATATATAAAAATATAAGGAGGCTTAGGAGAGTTCGTTTGCATCGCTCTCATAACCATATCATGATGAAGACAAGGCCTTTACAAATGAGGACTGATCCAGCTAGCGTAAACTATTGCCTCTTATGTCTCCCCCAAAAGTGTTGAGGGTTTTTTTAAAATTTTGCAATGGTACTTGGTTACTATTTCTATACTTCTAGTTAAGTAGATACATGTTATATGGTATAAGTTATTCCTTTCAGGAACGTATATATTGCTCTGGAATGTCATAAACGCTTCATATCTGAGAAAAATGCGCTACCAAAAGTTAAAGCATAGCTGAGTACATGAACACTCACATACTAAGAGACACGGAGTCTACTTACATGACTACATCCGTAGGTTTAACCTAATAGTTCAATGTCGGAGTATTGTTTATCGACAGTCGTTACCAGCACAAGACGATACGTCTAAAAGAATTAATAATCAAACTATTGTGATGCCTGATTCACAACTATTTGTGCTGTTACTCCCCAACAACGTTCCAGAAACCACCACAATTTCTGGGCAGCGGAGATATGTGGGAATTCATTTTCATTAATTGCGTACGTCATGTAAAAACCTGATTTGCATTGGGTTGACCACCATTTCAACTATAGCAAATATTTTCCCTTCAGTTAGCAATTCTCTTATAACACGATTTTAAAGCATTTGTCATAACTTAACGAAAGGGGAAGCAGTGCTCTTTACGTTAATCACATTGTAACATGGTTACTTGCACATCAATAACTATGGAAGATATGACTGAAGCATTAATGTGTCACTTAGAGATCTAATATAAACCACTTTCCTACAACAAAGGTCTAGTTTTATTCAAAGAAGTACAAAAAGGAAGATGCTCCCTTACGGGGTTTCTACTTGTGAACCACATCACATATGCAGTTCAGTAACACCGTCGATGTATTTAGAAAATAAGAGCTCTCAATATTCAGGGCACTTATCCGCCAGCGGACCTACCATTACAATTTGTTAACGAAACACATTCGGTAAACACCTTTAGCATTCGCTAATTTCACGTTCCGCATATGCTAATATAATTACTATAATATGACTTTATACAGTTATATCAGAGAATTTACACAACTCTTCATAACTTTTATCAACGTGTCACACAATATCATCTATTTCATCATGATAAGCGTCTTCATGGTACAAGTCAACTAGAAAATGTACAATATAACATATGTAACAAAAATATTACAACATTAGTAACAAAATTACAAACAAAACGACATTCCCAATGATAACACGAATGCGCGAACACACGCACTTATAAATATATATATACATTCACGCACATATTCACAAAATACACATTTATTTACTCCTTGTAACATAGGTGCATTAGCTTCAACTGACACAAAGAGGACAAGAAGGTCGCCCAGTATCAAAAGGCGACATAAATTTTTTGTTATCTGATTTATCGTGTGTAAGATGTAAGGGAACCAGCTGTATCAGCACACGGCAAACACTTAAGCATCAGGGGGTCATGGCCACCAACAATACCACAATAGAAAAAACGATATGCCAATATTGGTCGTACGACAAAGATGCTTGGTCCGAGACAGTGTGTAACAAAAGGAAATCAGAGAAAAAGATCTCAGAACCACTCGAAAACATTCGACGGAACTGCGTTTTCATCCAAATACTTTCATTCCCAACTTCTCTTCAATGAACACTCGATAAATAATATTTTTGTGTATGTATTATACGACCAATATTTTAAACGTGAAGCTACACGTGCCGTTATGCAATTAGTTACTAGGTAGAAATAAGTATCGGAAGAATAATACGTGCTTCTGCTTCAGGAGTACAAACATAACATATGGAATATGGCAGGGTAATGCGATTCAAACACGGCCTCAGTCATGTCGTCACAATTAAACATAGTTCAGGAGGCAAATGCAATTCGCGAGCTCTGACGCACTTTCAATATGAAAAAATCACGACCAAACATCGCAAATTCTGCACTAGGCAGCTCTTGAGGGCAGAAAAACCCAGCTTCATTATCAAATTTCATGAAAATATTTCAGTCAGTAAGTCTGATGTTTGATACAGTAATTGTATGCAGACTTCCGAATCTACATTAAGAAGAGGAAAATGAGACAAGGTCTACGACTTTATCGTCACACAAAGACAGTGCTTCATCAATTAACCGTGCGTCTTTACAGTTCACCTCAAATACAAACAACTGCGAGGGTCCGGACTACATTTGACCTTTTTGGTAACAATGTCAAGCCAGAAGACACTCGGATCAAGACAAACGAAGAATTTGATAATTCGTTTCTCTTTTACAATGTGAACAACGAAGGCTGTACTGCCACCGCTATAATTTGCTCATAGCTGGTACCACTTCTTGTCCTTGTACTTGAGCATTAGTCCATGAGCTGAAGAGGAGAAGTTCTCGGCCTCGTTCATCATCCGCTGTGTACGCTCCTCTAGTTGGCTCAGCTTTTCCCCACGTTCCACAGCCATCATGTGAGCCTGGGAAATCGCTCCAGCCGCCGTACCAGCATTCTGCTTCAACGCCTCTATATTAGCTGAGGGCCCTGGGATATGCTTGGCAATGCTCCTTGATGCCCGTCCGCTCGACTCTCCGACTAGAGCAAGGAAAACGCGTACATCAGGGCAGCAAAGTGTTATAAAAGTAAAGGTGCAAAGCACGCAAACAAGCTAGCCAGGTGTCGTATGGATCACACAAATGAGGTTTGAACAGATCAATATTAACTGATAACCTGCAATTACTTACAAAGTTCTTCCCTGTCAAGAGAACGAACCCCTCCACCGAAGAGACCTTGCAAAAAGCTTTGTTTCGGCTGTTCGGGCATGTCTCGTGGCAAAAACAGCTCGCCTACCATTTCTGCTAGACTCGAGCTGTGTCCAGTAAAACAATGCATTAGCAATCGAAGTAATAAAAAAACAACAACGGAACAAGTGATTTTTATCGTACCAAAACTCTGCTGAAACAGTGAACTTTTGGACCTCAGTTGGAGAACTCAAAAATAATCCATGACCTCGATTGCTAAAGCAGAAAGTTCTTGCTATCCTGAAATATGAAGAGTGCGCGTAAGACACCATAGAAAATACAGAACTATATGCGTGAGTGCAAAAATATATTTCTTTACATATATTTTTAAAAGCGATATCCTGGCGGAATCGAGTGTTTCTCAGGCTTTTTTTTACAGGCTCATGCACCTCCTTAAATAAATATGATTTACATCAATTTTGAAATGTTTCTCGATATCAGTGGTGAGTGAATGCATCGATGTGCATTACAACAGTAGAACTCTGAGAAACACCGCGTAACAGAGCGCTCTGCGCTTGCTAAGAAGAAACAACCACAAGTCCAGTATTTCAGGACCTCAATTTTGAATATTGGAATAAGTTGTTGTTTTTAAAAAAATTAAAAAGCAACCCTGCCTTTATGCGCTTTGGCTGGGTACATTTTAATTGACTGGAGCGAGATAATTCAAACTAAGGAAATGAAAACAGGCGCTCCGAAAGAAACCAAATACGGTCGCACTTCGTTCCCCTTCTCAGACGCTTATTACACGTTACAATAAAAATGGTTGGATATGTACAAACAAATTAAAACAAAGAAAGGTAACGGCCCGCCTGAGAGATACTCTATACACTGTGCGGCTAGAGAAAATACGGACAAGACACCACATGGCCACAAGAAAGCTAAGCTTCCATGCATAACCAGAGTTTTTCATAGCTCTGAACGAGAGAGGAGAGTGGTTTCTTATAGCAGCAGCAGGGTGGTTGTCGCAAAAATATGCTATGCGACTTGTTTGTTCTTAAAAAATCAAAACCGGTTCAATTCTGAGGGTAAGTGTAATAATGTCCTCAGGCTTTGTCTCTCTGCAAAAATAAAGTAATTTTTTGTTTTGTAAAGAACGACTTGGATATTTAAAAGGCGAAGAAGATATTAACTTCTATGCGACGCGTCTGTCTAACAATATCCTTTCTGTTTCGCTGCCCCGAAAGACTATCCCTTTCTGTTTCGCTGCCCCGAAAGACCAGCCTAACTGTTTTCCGGCGCCGTCTTGCAGTGCTGTCTTCTGTCAATTGTGGGTTTGGTAATATTAACAGTAGAAAAAAGGAAACTTGCCATTTATTCCTTGATTTTTAAGGGACCCGCAGCAGTGTTTACTTTTTTCTACACTTCATATTGGCAAACTCACAATAAAAAGAAGACAGCGCTGCAGATAGCGCCGAAAACAGATACACTGTTAAAAATAACTGTCACCTGACGCGACTGCCTGACTGGCACTCCTGTTAGGTAACAGAAATGTTGTTTTCATTTGAACACTCTCGAAACTTATTTCGACTGATATTCAGTCCATAGTGGCCCACAACAAAAACTACTACGTATGTTACTTTGCCGTACATTTACAAGAAAAGAGAAGTTAATTTTGTTAGCAGCACATTTCGTTCCAAAACAGGACACTCGTATTATTACATTTTTTTTTTTACAGGAGCAAAACAAAGTAACTGCTTTTGGTCGGAAACTTTGTTTTCGAGATTTTTATTAACGTTGCTTTTTTACAGTAAGGCCTATAAAAGTACAGTATGTGCTGCTAACAAAATTAATCACATTTTCACTGTAAATTTACAGCAATTTTTTTAACAGTGTAGGGTAGTCTTTCGGGACAGCAAAACATATAGGATAGTCTTTCGGGGCAGCGAAACAGATAGGATATTGTCGCACGCACGCGTCAAATGCTACTGTAAATGGGTGCGTACAACAGCTGAGGACACGGTTTATGTACCTTACTGACAACAGTAATGATTATTTCTCTGTTACAACATCATGCTGCAGTAAGTGACGTTCAGAGCTGTCGAAACATTTACGTTAAGCATAGTAGCAAATTTAACGCTCTACCTGATAAAGGACACGTACACATGAATAATCCTGTATTCAAAGACCATCATCTATTGATTGAATTTCATTGAACCTAATTTACAGATTTCCCATAGGAAAGTGTACTGTGAAGTCAATTTTAACAATTAACACGTTCAATAAGGGAGTAATACAGAGTGGTTCATCAGCCCTGTTCATTTGCATACCGTACGGGATGCAGTCGTGCTTATCGTCGGTCACTGGGGCGAGGTACCGAGGTACCTTACAGCACCATGCGAGTATGCGACCTGTCCGCACGCCTGCATCCGTACAGGCTAAAGAACGTGACCATAACAAAGCACCCTGTATTGCAGGATTCTAATCTGTGAACCGCAAGTGATCACGCCGCACTCACGATTGGCCACAAACTGACACACATTATGATAAGAAATCTCGAACCTGGTGGACCAGGTTTACTAAACGTGTTAATTGGCTTTTAAGTAGAAGTGTCCCCTGAACATTACTGTTTTGTCGTATCGATAGCATATCAGCACCTAGTTCCTCTTCTACTCAAACACTGCGACCACCTCATCACATAACATTAACATGTTATCACATATTGCTCGGAATATCATGTCATACTCGTTTTCGACTCACCCGTGCCTTGTTCAGAGTGTAAGACAGGCTACCAATGGCGCAGTATGACGGATATGACACAGTATTCCACTCTATGTTACGCGAGTCATAGACGTTTAAGTGTGGCGTCACAGTATTTGAATAACAGTATGGGCTCAATGAGCTAGTAGTGTACGTGACCTTTCTGTAAACACTACTGATTGCTTTACCGCAGAGCTAACTTAAATGCAGCAATGTAATTGCACTGCGTCGACAGGAGCACGTATCCTCAAAAAACAAGAATTTAGCCACCAAGAAAACCCAAACATTTCACAATTTAAATATTTTGCACAATGCCATAAAATGGGTTCTCTGGTAGCTAAAGTCTCGTGGCTAAAGGCAGGTTACAGACAAAAGCACACAATTGCTACAGCGTCACCATAAACACCAATAAATGTCCGAAAAACAATAAGACACAAATACATCTTTGTGCATTTCATGAAAAAGGCGACATTTGAAATCATTCGAATACACAACTTTATTTCGATCGGGACATATTTTATTTTTGGGCATTGTTCCTTAAATAAAGTTTGTTTAGCCACTTTAAAGACAAAATCTTTAAAAAAATTTAATCATGGAGACCAAAGATTTTTCTCAGGGAAGTCCCTGTCCATATGTTTAGTTTGTTGTGCAGGGGCGGTTTAATGCCCGAGCGCGGCCAGGTCGCGTGGGTTGCCTTTGCACAGGCGCATGCTGCCTGTCAGGTGTCTGACATCTGAAGCGGACGGAAGGAACGGAAAAGGGCAGCTTTCTCCCCCTTAAAACCATTCCCGGTGTTGTGAAATTTGGTTTTCAAATAAACATTTAAGAATGTTCCTCTATAGAGACCACCAATGACAGGGCGTGATGAGCACATTGAGTCAGATGCACATGTGTAACATGGGCGATATTCTATAATATGGAGTTTTGACCAGGTTTGGCGTTGTCGGCTGTGACAAAGAAGTCGTGAGTAAATCGTGCACAAGCCTGAGGTTTAACTGGGAAGAATCTAAAGGCGTTGTTCCTATAGATTGGACCTCCGCACTTTCCATGCATGCTACGGTAAGACAAGCATAGTACAGTGTTTGAAATCTACAAGTATCGTCATTTACAGTAATCGGGGACTTTTTTATTCACATTTGAGGAATTTGTCTTAAGTTGCCCGATTGAGGGCTCAACTTAAAGTGGTGGTTAAAAGAAAAGAGCAGAAGTCAGTTTTACAATTTGACGAGGTATTTTATAAACGATAAATTAACGGAATCCTACATATACAGAAGGAAAATACATTTTAATACCAGGAAAGATAAAAAAGGTAAACTTTGCACTACAAAATAGGTACAGAAAATTAAAAATAAGTAGCTCTTGAAGATATTTTGCAGATCTGTGCATCGAATCCCAACGTTAACATACATGTGGTTTAAAACCATTTAAACTGTTTTTTCGAATACAGAAATAGAAAACAAGCCTGGGACAACTTTTGGAGATAGAGATACTCGGATCTATCTTGGATCAAAGTCACATGCAAGGATGTTCAGACTTTAACCGAGCGACCCACTCGCAGCTGATCTTCCTATTTTAGAATATTGACCGAGTTTCGCCAGAGTCTTCAATCAAAGACGGGACGATTCGGGTGGATTTTTTACTCTGAAAAAATCTGACGTGTTCCCTTAATCCAACGTTAACTCGGAACAAAGTCACATTTAATTCGGAGAGGTGCTTCAAGTTAATGTTAAGCAAAATGTTTCATGCGTGGAAGTGAGGCACACCAACATGCAAACTATTTAGAACACACAGCATGCACATGCATTCGTTTTCTGTGTGATTGCAGAGTGTTTGATTTTGTACATGCAAAAGCCATGCTTTGAATATCTCCCCGTCTGCAGCTATATCTTCCCAAATAGCTCCGAGAAGTAGTTATCGTTTGGAAGTACTTTAGGTAAAGGTGATTATTTTATTTTAAGAAAAACGATTGCGATTTAGTTGCAAAGAGTGTTTTTAAGACATGCTCGTTTTTTGTAGGAGCAGAAGAAGAGATTCTGTGCATGCTACAACGATTCCATGCTGAACTGTAGCAGCAAAGCCACGTAGGGATGTGCTGTGCGTACTAAGTGACTGCTCGGTAATGGTAAAATCATGGTATATGAAACTGAGAAGGCACGATAGTGGGTATACATTCTGTTTTGGTAACGATTTGACATAGATGACATGTGTTTGGTACTGTATACTTATTAATTGAAACAGCAGTTAAAATTTTTATTTCTGAACGAGAAAATTAGGTTATATGAAAAATACGCATTGCACATCAAGTTGTTTGTGAAAATTGCATGTTCATGTATTTTATGATTTGTATGTTATGTATCTGGTGTGTTGTTCTATTTCTGGGAGGGCTTATGACCACAGCCCAGTCCCACTTACTGGTCCGTGTCTTCATTAACAAACATCTGTTGACCCCATATGGATAACATAGGGTCTACAATGCCTTGTTTCGCTGTCTGAAAACTGTCAGAAGGAACAATACAAATGATTGAATATTGTGCGTGTCATTGAAAAAATTATTATTATGCTTCATTTCTATTAAAACAAACAAATGTTTAATCCATTTAGAATCTATCGACTGCGAGTTTGATATTGAGTTTCGTGTCCACCTTTAGGTAGCGCATCGTAAAGAATCATATAGTTATTTCACATTTTTGGCATTATTTCAGGAACCAAGCGGAAAATTAGTTCTCGCAGGGGTTCAGTCGAAAGCGCAAATGGTGGTTGCATTTTGTTAGCAAACGGCCTCAAGGAGCGATTTGACCACGTTGGGTCGTTTGGTAATGAAATTCAAGCACCAATTGAGCTTTCAAATGAACCCCGGTGAGTCCTAATTTTCCGCTCGGATCCAGAGATAATACCAACAATGTGAAATAAAATGATTCGTTACGATATCCTATACGGAAAAAAAAAGACTTTGTTGTGAGGATCAGTTCTGTTTGGTTGGCTAAATTCGGTAGCTAGAATCGAGAATCCAATACTCACAAGCAGGAGTTGGTTGTGACGACCGGAAACTTATAGGAATACAACCGATCTGGAGTTTGTTCTAATCGTACAAGTGTCCAGTCGTGGCAACCAACTCCTGCTTGTGGGTATCGGCTTTCCAGCTTTCAAATCTAGCCTACCAAACAATTGATCCTCACAGCGAAGTAATTTTTTTCTGGGACTTTTCTGAGAAATGGGTTATTATATCTGACTCTAGCCATACAGGTTTTCCAATTGAGCCGGACTTGTATAAAAAAGTTATACTGTACCAAGGCAGGCATGCGAGCGGGCTTGCCTACCGAAATTCATCCTAGCACCTTATGACACGATAAATGAGTAGGCAAACCAGCCGCACACATGGAGTACAGTATTTTTGTTCAAGCTTACATATTTATTTTAAATGCGGTTCGATGTGATCGAACGCTTTGACCCTAAAACAAATCAGCGAATCCCTCCTTTCGCACTTCACAGCAGATTCAACACGATGGCACACCAAGTAAATTCCATGCACCAACACATGCTCATGTGCCCTGCGTTTACATGAATCATAGTGGTAAACAATGCAAACGTGAATGTTATTATGTCAAACCTGCACATTTTAAAAGCCCTTAATCTGTTTACATATTAAATCAAAGTGGTTAAGTTATGAGGGTAGAGAGGCCTTCTTCAGTAATCAGAAAAAGAACACGAATAAGATATTAACGTCGTCTTGACGCCTACATGATAGAGTATTAAGCGTAGAGTTGACTACTGTTTTAGTCCCTAAGACATTAAACATGACGACCTGATCTTTCAACTGACATTTCATTATTTTTAGGGTTGTTCTCTAGATTTAGCAACAGCGTGAGTTTTGTCCGGTTGGACATACTGAAGGGTGGACAGGATGCTTAGTTTTTCGACGTCGACCAAAGGACACTGGGACAGAAATGAGAAATGGTGGTGCTCGAGTCTAATTTAAATGTCAGAAGATGGGGCGCGCAGGCAGACAATGCAACCGGCAGGCGGAGCAGGGTGTGGGAGGAGAGTTGGGTGCAGAGTGACTTATTTACCAAACCCGTGGGGGTCCAAAGTTCAGATCCACGAGGACCCAGGTACAACCTCCTCGGTTTCGCGTGGGGATGAATTCGAGATGAATTCCACCACGTACCCACTCTGTTCCCGCACCATTCTTCTTCTGAAAGCTATGTTGCTGGCGCTATCTTTCGAAATTTAAATTTGTCTCTAGCCAATTTTTATGACTGCCTCCAACCTACTTAGCGTGTCCCAGATCACACCACACACTTCTCAAGTTATGAACCACGCCTCCGCCTCCACCTCCGCCCCCAAAAATAAAAAATAAAATAATAATATGGAATTAGTGGCCAGAAATATCTCTGTATAGAATCAACCTCATCTCCTACATCATGTACTAACACAGAAATGAAAAACGGACAAGTATGGCGTTGTTTTGGACCATTTTCGGACGGTCCGATAGTTTGACGTCGACGGATTTTTTTTTCTGATCCACTAAACACAGGTTAGTGTTACAACTTTATAAATGTATACTCGACAAAAGCAACTTCATTTGTTTCTTTTTCTCTTTCTCTCTCTTTCGCTCTTAACCTTTTTTTATTTAAAAACGTTCGCGTGTTATCATGCAGCAAAATGTGCGTATCAACGTGAAAACAGTTAGTACATTTACTGCAAAACAGGCCTGGGTGATTTCACATTCGAAAACATTCTTTAGCAGAAAATATTGGAAGCTGTGAGGTGCTTCAGCGTAAAGCAACGTAACTCGGTGAAACAATATTGAAGTTGCAACAGGATTAAACTCAACATGAATCAAGTGGGTCATATTTCGAATAGAAAAAGGCACCCGCGAACACATGATCCCTTTTCAGTATTTATAAGAGGGCTATGTCTCCGTCATACGCGAGATAAGAACATACTTGACGACGTAGTATGGTCAAAGGTCCTAAACATGTAAATGAGTTTTAATCATAAGCATACTCAAGAATTATAACGTTAAGATGACGTATAAGAGCAAGGGAACCAAATCATTCTACTGAGACCTGAATATTGTATTAAAAGACTTTTAAGAAGCAAGAAACGTGAGACGATAAGACTACCCTAGATTTGTTTAAAAGGTAACGTACCTCAGATCAGCTAGAGGAAGGAAGTCGATGTCTATTAATGGCCGAAGGCTTGGGAGACTGTATGCTATGATATGGCCACTTGAAACGTAGACAACTAGGCAAACACTATCTGCAAACAAGAAAACTTGCTGGTATACAAAATATTCGATATACGATGTGTTGGTGTGTATATTATATGTGTTTCAAAAGAATCCGACCCACCCGAGTGGCTAGCTGTCCCGCGCTTCACGCGCGGGAAACAGGCACACACAGGCTGCCAACTTCAGGGCTGCCCCCGTTGCCGCTTTTCGCGGTGCAAGGGGCAGAGGGGGGGGGGGGGAATTCCCAGCCCTGACCAGAGGTAGCCGTCGTTGGCCTCGGGGACTCGCGCTGAGGACATTCCCCTTCACCATCGCTGGTGAGCGTCGCTGAAATCTTACGTGTTCACCCGGCAAGATCTCCAGTTAGGTTAGTTAAAATCTTGAACAATTGGCAAACCTAATTTAAACACTTGCTGTCAGTCTTCCCCTCCTCGCCGACCCTGGGGGGATGCCGCGCATTTAATTCGAATTAAATTCTCAGGGCTGCGAATCCACCTGCCCAGCAGAGCAGCCCACTGTCTGGCCTGCTGCCTCCCTCCCCTCCCCCCCCCCCCGCTCAACAGTGGTAACGGGGCAGCCCGGGGCAGCCCTGGCCAGCCTGGCTGCCGCGCCCGGAGCGGATTCATTTGAAACACATAGTACAATAGAACGAACCAGGTACCTTTCAGTGATATAATTTCCGCCTTCACGACGAAACCCTCCCCATCTGTTATCTGCTGTCGATACACACAATTGTGTGACGGTAACGCTACAACTCTAGCCTGCTTCTCTGATGTTAGAACTACAAATTGACGGTCTGCAAACTGGTCAGAAGCCATGCCTGCCGAGCCACCTAATGTTGGTGACATACGACTATTGCAGCCAGACTTGGTTGGGGTTTCTGAAAAAAAAAAAGGAAAATTATATTAATCATTCTAATAATCCAACACTTAAGAGAGCAATTACTAAATATAGTGGCAAAAAAGCTCTTACTTTGCCGGCTTTCTTTATTCTCGTCTCTCCACGGCTCATATGAATAGGGAATAAGCGCACCATTGCAGTCAAGAAACGACATCGTCAGAATACATCCCTTTAGCCTGAATATAGTTCCTGAGAGATAAACGAGAAACATTATATGCCTGTCCGTACCTTCGAAAGGATAACAAGTGAGTATAGGTCTTACCACAAGGACTGATAGCAACTGGTTGAACGGCCCGCGCGTCTCCAGCGGGTACCACTATCATTAAAGTGAGCACTGATCCGAGACTAGTTCCAACCCACAGAGTGGGATACGCACACGGATCTGAAGAACAAAAACCAATCAAGTTTCAGAAGAGATGGTAGTTTGCGTATTGTTATTTTTTTTGCAAGATATACATACCCGATTTTTTAGTGTACGAATCAGCGAAAGCTAAGCACTGAATTGCTTCTGCGCTTATGTTTTCAAGACTAGACATACTTGAGCTTCTGGATCTTGAAAAAGAACTGTCCAGTTTATCTAAAGGAAGACAAAAGACATTAGAGTGTGGCCTTGATGATTTGGAATATCCAACTTTGTTTCCAAATTTAGTACGCTGTCAATAAATTTGCATTTTAATGTGTGTTATTTATGAAATCATAAATATTAGATTTAATGACAATACACAGCAGTACTGAAACTGGAAAATTGAGATGGTACTCCAGAAACTACTACACGCAGACTTATGACTACCTATACCAAGCCACTTTTAACCGCGTACCAGTTACTTATGTCTCTAAAAAAAATTGATATAAGTGTCCTGATTTATGGTTGACAACACGTGTCACTTTAGGAGTCTAAAAATATTGATACTTTAAAAAGCATACAGATTACAGGTCGACCAATGCGCATGTTTTGTATTCCATTAGCATAACAATACATTGTAAAATATCAAAAGTTATTAGAAGATTTCTTTAAATTGGGGGCCAAAGAAATTAAAAACAAAATTCTTGAAGATTTTAAGTACTGTTACCAAACAAAACTGTTGCACACGGAACAATTTGTATGAGTTTGCATTCGAGCAAAAAGGCATTGTCTTTACTTTTTCATTTGCTACGGTCTTTGGTTTTGAAATAACAATATAATTTATTTGAAACTTACTTTAAAACTATTGTTTGTGACTTGGTAGACAAAAAATACGCTGATTAGCAGAAAAGCGGTTGCAGAAGATTGAAGGTTGCTTGCATCATACTGATTAGATCGAAGGGACATTTAGGTGAGGAACAGGCAAAAAGCCTACTATTTAACTGCCTGGATGTTCCCATGTCTGGGTATGAAGACCATTAAGGCTTTGTGTAATGCGTTACTCGGGGATACATGCATTTTATATACGTATGTACGAAGCAGTGTTTGTCCGATATAGGCCGATTAAATTTTATAAAGTGCCAGAAAAATATTCATTACTCTTCAACGGCCATATTCTTTTGAAAAGAGTGAAAGAGAAGGAAACTAAAAACTATGCAAAATGGCAGGGAACTTTCTGAGCTGCTATGTCATGCAATTTGAAGATAACTAAAGTTCATGCAAAACTTGTGCTCTAGGTTGGTCAACAAATGCAATGTTTTCAGTGTTATCTGCGATATATAAAACGGAATGGATATTTTTACGAGATAAATAAAACGAATGAAAGCAGCGAGATAATAATACACAATTCAGAAAAATATTTACAAAAATAATAAAAATTTGCGTTAAGCCCCCTTTGGTGTGTAGTGGCTTTATTTCAGAGACAAATTGGATTATGTTATGAATGTACACTTATAAGTTTAGATTCTAAAAGCCAAACACAGAGTCATTCTAAGAATCTTTAGCGCAAGACAAACCAATGTCCGTTAGTGGAGCAAAGCTATTACGTCACATCGTTATAAATTTGGAGGGCTAAAAATCTTTAAGGTATAGACTCCATATGACACACACTGAGTACAGCAACAAGGAAGACATTTCAGTAAGCACACCAATGTGTCAGTCTGCAAGGCACCTTTGCATCACACGACACGGGACAGCACACGAAACACGATCACATTTGTCAGCACATATAGAGAGAGACAGAAGGAAGAAGGTCGGTCACACAAAACCAGAGTGATTGTGGAGGGGATTCGGGTAAAAGAATAGAGGCGACAGGAATTACTGAGGGTTAAAGTGCAGGCATAAGAGATAGACAAGACAGAGACAGACGGTCCGAAATTGAATTTTATATTTTCAGTGACAAAAACAATGTCACAGCTGACAAACTTACGAAGAATGTAGTTTTGGATAGTACGTCACCATCAAGTGAAAGAAACTACTATACATACCTCACATGCCATTATAAATCTACTAATAAAGTGCTGTTTCTAATAAGATTGTTACAATATGCTTCAAGGATGTGGAATATGAGACTGGGAGGGAAATATGTGAGGGAAAAGATGTGATTGCGAAATGACAAAACGGTTGACTTAGTGCCACATTCCACTATTCAGTGCGACATATCTCAATAGAACTCAAACAAATCGAAACAAACTTGAAGTCTTAGGCAAAGACCCGACCAGATTCGATTAGAAAACTTAGAGGAAGAGGTTAAATAGCGTACACTTTTTACATTAAATCTCAGAAACCGTCACACTAGCTGGTAACAGGTTTTAATTGGAAATGTTAAGTCGTACTCTAACAGTCAGCAGATCATGTAATACGGAAACCTATCATAAGTTTCAGCCCAAAGTGAAAACGACGACAGATCATAAGCACGTGATAAACGTGTGCATACTAAGAAATGCTCTTGAGCTAGTACACTTTGTTTTCGCAACTAAATAACGTTATATTTCAGCAAGATTATGTGCTATCCTTACTTTTCTAAAAGACGAATCAAGAGGTGCAAAACACCGCCGCTATTTAAAGTTAATTTTGGTCATGCTTTCAGAGCGAAACTCTCCATAGAACTGTTAAAGGTCGGACTTTCCGACGCCAGTTACTTTGATATAGACCTTGCCTGAGGCAAAAGCTGATTGCGGAAGTTTGATGAAACGAAGAGCTGTAGGGTGTCGCAATTACGGAAGCAGTGGCAGAATGTAGACCATTACACAAAGCAGTATGTGTATTTGGCTCACTAAGGTTTCAAGAAGAAGACATTCTCGTAAAGTTAAACTTCTATGATCTGTTGACTGACTACGGCAAGAGCACGCTGTTAATAGAATAATAGAAAAACAGCCCAGCAAAGACGGCAATTTGGACCATCACTGAGCATTGCTACGACTTCAGACTGTGTCACGGGTGAATAGAAAACTAGCGAATGCGGACTGTTGTTCTAAGCAAACCGTCTAAATGATTAAACTTGGTATGCAGAGAAAAAAGGTGACGGTACTACCAAAACTGCAATATTGTCGAGTAACAAGTAGGTTGCTGTGGGACCCGGCACGTAGATGCTCTGGAGACCGTGGGAATAAGCCACCACCACCACCCGCCACGCCAACGCAGCCATCTTCTGAATATGAAGCCGTGCTCAAGCATTTCTGCAGTTTTCGGGTACCTTGGGAGCGGCACCGTTTCACCGGCTCGGGTGGCCTGCGTGGGGAGCTCACGCCCGCCGCATTCCCTACATTCTGTTTGCCCGATGTTGGGGAAACGCACACTCCGTTTAGCTACAGATGCAGGAGCAGAGGGCAGGTAAAGGTTGGGAAATGAGTTGATTAGCAACACCACCACCACCACCATAACCAACACATGGACAACAAATACATGACAGAGAGAGTCCGGCGGCATGAACACACAAATAGCAATAGGTCAGGGATAGAAAGGAAATAACATGTTGATTATATCTGTAAAGAAAGCATTTCAGGACGACTGGCAAGCATTAGTCTGTTTGCGAGTACGGTAATTCAATTTTTGTACAAAATAGAGTAACGATTTGAATGACTGGCAGTTCCAGGGATCTCAATTAAAACACTAAACGTGTCAAGGAATAAAATTGGTATGGCCTATGGTAAACTAGAGCTGAAGCTGTTAGTTTAACTGCAATGCGTCAAGTTAGACGTCTAGCCTAAAATAGTAACACGCTTTTCAAAGGGACTGAACGAGCTCCTCTATTGAAATAAATAGCGTTACAAATATGACTAAATATGTACCAAATAGAAGTTTCAGACAGCTTGGTTCTTCATCCATTTCCTTCAACACAGATACAGAAACATGTCAAAGGCTTATGTTTTCCACACAAAATAGCACATTAACCAAGAACAAAGTACAGATCAGGTTACTCAAGAGTTAACTATCAGTCAAACTTGTTTCCTTGTTAAGGTAAGGCTTGGGTGAAATTACGAAAAATGCAGTTAAACGTTGACAGAAACCATGCGAAAGAATGCGACTTAGATCTAGAAAAGTATTTGTACAAGCCTCACTTAAACTACCAAAGACAAGAAACTCGCTCTCAGCTTCTTGCCTCGAGTTCATCGCCCACCAAGGAGCAGTATTTGTTCCTTCGCTCTATTAAAAAATCATTATTTAGGCCTATACTTCAATTTGATTAAGGATCCTTAGTGCAATTGGGAGAGGTCAAAAATTTTCTGCTTCTTTAAAGTAATCTCCAAATTAATCATAAACGAAAATATCACCCGCGAATGCAGCGCTTGATTGCCTTATCTTACTGAGGCGAGAAACATCTGCCTCAGTTTGAGGAAATGTTTTTCAATGAAATTGTTTTTCACCGAAACCTCACCCTACGGACAACACTCATTTCCACAACCACATATACGAGAAAAACAAAAGACAGAGTGTGGCGGCCCAGACTGCGAACACCAATGCTAATTTTCACTGGCAAAAGGTAAACGAAAACAGGTAACTTCTTGTGACTCGGTTAGTTTCATTCCTCGCACACGTTTGTGGAAATGTGTGTGCGTAAACGACACTGAAAGAAAATGACAAATATGACACACTCAACCAAGAGGCGAACCCGATCTCCACATGCCTCCATATATGTGCCTGCAATCAATTTTGTTCTGAGTATGGACTTCTCCATAAGAAATGTAAGACATGGTCGTGTGTATACTGTGTGTCTTTCCTTGCATCGAAAACCAAATTATTGCTCTGGTTCTGATAGGCTATATGTACAAACAAAATAATGCTCCTGATAGGCGTTTACCTTTAACATTTATCACATACGGACGGGAGTTTACAAGCAGAGTACAGAGTCATTCTCCATAACCTTTCTATTTAACAAACCAGCACACTAAATTTAGCTAAAGTGACCTATGTACAATCAAATCATCTCATTCATCTATGGCTGCTATAAGCCAACTACTTCTAGACCCATTGCTGTTCGTTATAAATCGAAAAACCAAACGAAACAAACAAAATGATAGGAAAAGAATTGAAAATTGAGATTAAGATACGACAAAGTGAAGGGCCAAGCATGATTTGGGATAATGAATGGGAAACTTACTGAACCTGCGGATGAATCCACCAAACGCAGGCGCACTGGAGGAGGCCTCGTCTTTTCGTCGAAGGTCCCTCAGGTGGTGGTGGTCCGACCGATGGTACTTAATGTTCGGCACAGACAGCAGTCGCCCGTCCCTTTTGTCCATGGCCTTTTTCATGACGCTCTCCCTTCTCCTTGGCGGCCGCATGGGCTTGCCGTCTGCGTCGAACAACGGCAAGTCGGCGGGTCGGCGGTTGACGCGGTCTGCGTCCGAGTCCATGCCTGAGTCGCTCAGGTATTCGCACGCCTCCGTCGCGTACTCCACGCTCACCTCGTCAGGACTAAAGAGGCCGGGGTCCTCCAGGTAGGCCTTGGGCGCGTCCTCAGTCTCAGGGGTCGACATCTCTTTGAGATCTTCGTTCGAGTCCGGGGGGGAATCTGTTCCCACAGGGGACAGCTGACTAGGTGTGACAGATGGGTAGGAGATGGTGACAGAGGGGCGCTTAGAGCCACCCTGATGAGCGGCTATGGCCTGCCCGGGCCTTGTCGGCTTCAGCCTCATGTCCACCTTGCTAAACTGCTTTTTAAAGCTGAAACCTTTCCACGAGTGGCTTCTCTTGCGGTTGGGATCCGGCGAGTACGTCACTATAGTGGTCGGCCGGTGGGCGGGCTCCAAAGCACCAACGGGGGCCTCTTCGTAGTACTCCTCGGGCGAGGGCTGCCCCGAGGCGCCGGCGGGCGTCCTGGTCGCTGGGTCACTGTCGCTGTCGCGCTCCTCCTTGTCCTTGTGGAGAGGGGACGGCAGGGAGAGAGAGGGAACGGAGGTTACGTCCTAAGCACCGTGCCACACAGAGGACAGGCGGGTAGTGAGAGAGGAATCGGCAAAAGAGAAAGAGAGAGAAAGAAGAAAACAGAAAAAAACAACAAAAAAAGTAAGTCTCCCGCACATCTGTTATCCAGAGAGTTTTTAATGTCATAAATTATTAGTTCCTGTTACTGATTCAAATTAGCTACGACTGGCCCCAACTGATAAGCAAGAAAACTTTCCTAAGGGCACTGACTACAGCACAGCAGTAGGCCCACCGGCTCAGGAGTAACCGTTTAGTTACTCGCCAACCACCATTGTTGAATTTGATTCCCAAATGGTATTTTGAAAGGCAAGAACACAGGTTAGAATTATTTTCGGGCAAATATTCGGATATATATGGGACAGGTAACAGATTCTACCTATTTAGAAGTTATCTAATCCAGAGCTCACAGTGGGCCAGCTGAGGCTTTGATTCTGACTATAAGGCATCACACCATTAAAAATGGTGATGCCAAAAAATGTACGGAAAACTATTTTGAGTTGTGCAATCGCATTACGAAAGGTGCTCGTATAATAAACTGTCTCATGCTTTTAATCCTTTTCGGCATGCTTTTATTAGATCATTTGAACCGTATCAGGAGAACTGGCTTTTATAATGAGGTTTTAAATGGCCTCTTGGCATTAGAACACACAGTCGTTCGACACACAGCCTACGAGGGAAATAAAGCAGCGAAAGAGCTCCTAAACGAGAAAGGAATTAATGTCCACAGCACGTCTGCACCTGCAAGCCACAAACACTTACCACCCAGGCCTTTGCTTACATTTACCACAGAACAAGTCTTGCTATTTTATTTCTTTTACATTCGCATCTTGCTCACGATAAATGTTTGTAACTCAATTAGGCAGGCAAGTCATTCGTCCCAGTCATTATTTCTAAATTGAGATACAACAATTTGGAACCGACGCAACTGAATTGACTCCAAAACATTTACCACCCTTGCGAAGGTAAGCGAAAGCCTGAGTGATACGTACAGGTATACTTTCAAATCACTTCAATGTTGATTCATTTAAGAAAAAACAGAAACAGAGTTTAGCGCCACTCGCATTTTAATCTGTTGCAAAATGGAGAGAACAAAACTTCTAACTGGCTTATGAATTTACCTGGTCGTTGGAAGGCGATCGGCAGCGCGGGTCGTCCTGGCCGTCCTGCTGCCCACCGCGCTTGGGGGAGCGCGGCACCCGCTGGTAGGGGTCAGCGCTGCCGTACAGGTCGGGCGTCCCCATGGATATCACACACGTGCGCTGCACGATGTCGACCACGGCGATGCCCGACTCGTTGCCGTACGCCATCCTGTCAGACATAGCAAACGTAGTACATGGGGAGGCAATTTCTCCTATAGCGCGCGCCATTAGCGGTACGAATGCGTAGAATATTTCTAAAATTAACTTGGACACAACATGCAACCAAAAGGCAAATAAGAAGGGCCAACTCACAGTCCATACGAAGAGTTGATACTAAGAGCAGTGATTTGTCCTGGCTGCTCGCCGTTGACCCAGGGCGTGATACAAACGATGTGCGCTTGGAAACCAGCGGGCTTCTTCTGTGGCCCAGGCTTCACTTTTAGGGGCAAGGCATACTCTAACGAAGACTGGAAAAAAAAGGATAACAAAATCCATGACCTTACTTCACAATGTGTTGTGACAGACAAGGACAAGGGACAACTTGCCCATTGTGGCGGAGCGTAGCGGGAAAAAAAAAGCACCGTAACATAATCGTAGGATTGCACTGATAAAGTGTTCAACTGCTCAACACTAGTAAGTGTGCAACTGCAAGCTGAATCCTTGCAAGTCAATAGGTGTACCCTTGCAAGTGTTCAACTCGGTAGGCGTGCACTTGCAACACTTCCTTAGATTAAACGCTCACTGTGTAGGAAGTGCTCAACCGAGGAGTTGCACACTTGCAAGTGCACACCTACCGAGTTGAACATTTGCAAGTATTCAAATTGCAGTTGTACACTCGCAAGTATTTAATTTGCACTTTACACACTACTTGCACGTGTTGAGCAGTTAAACACTTAGTTTATCGGTCTGTTATAAATCGCTATCGTTATTTCGTACACGTACACACTTCTTAGAGTGTGCAATGCCAGGCACACACAAGGAAGAGAGTGTAAACTATGTACACAGTTGGGTTTGCAGTGTAGTAACCGTTTGATGACAACCATCTCTTTGATTTCTGCCATTATCCCATACCTTCTTTCCTTCTGCGTCGTTCGACTCTCCTCTGTGAGAGACTAGGCTAGGTCGGGGAGGGTACTCCGCCTCTGGTGAGCCCTCAGCAACGTCGTCTGAAACTTCGTACACGATTGGGATTTCTAAGGTCTGCAATACAAAGTAACAAGATTCAGACCATGAGAAACTAAATGCGAAGATGTTCTTAGCAAAGTGTGTGTGTGAGGTGGAGAAACCAACCGTCGTATCACTGGTTGACTCTTGTTTCCTAAATTTAAAGAGTATGACATGGGAAGAGGCGCCCGCCACGCAGAGCTTCCGGCTCTCGGGGCACAGCGAGATGAGCTGGATGGCTAATGGGTCGTCGTCCGCACCGTCCACGCTCCGAGACTGGGGCTTCTCGAAGACCTTGGACGTCTTGAGCTTGTAGAGCACCTGTAGCGTGCCGGCAGAGGCGTCCCAGAACCGAATACTGCCATCTGCATGCCTGCAACACGAGAGACGTAAGAAATTAACGACGAGGCAAAATGTACAAAGGCAATGTACCACACCGCACCACAATTAACAGTTGCACATACCCGGTGAGGATGATCTCGTTGTAGCTGCAGCTGGTGGGGGACCACTCCCCGCCGTTGATGGGCCACTCTCGCTCGGTGAAGCCGGTGCGCTTGTGCGTCCGGCTGCCCACCGAGTAGAAGGCGGGGATGAGGTCCGAGGGGCAGTCCGCCAGGTACGTGCAACACGTCACGGGCGACTCGTGCAGGTCCATCGGGTACGGATTCTCAAAGCAAGGGAAGCCCTGGGCGAACAGGTCGATCACCACCAGGTCGTTGTGCAGAAGAACGGCTATACCATACGGTTCCTGAGGCTCTGCGCAAAACGAAATTAAAAAACATGTTATTTTATAACTTTTTAGAAGAATGAGGGAATCACACTGAAGCTCCAGCCAAGGTAGGCAACGAGGGGGAATTTATTCGCGTATCAGTCGCCAATTACTAGCAGGCGCAAGAGTCGCGGGATCACCAACCCCCGAAATAATTCAAAGTTGTCATAAGATAATCGAAATATCGTGAACTTTCCTTCGGAAAGTGATGATTTCGAAGCACAGAGGTTAAGCTAAATAACTTGGCGGTAGATAAATAGTACCCACCACTGGAGTATGGACTCTCGCAGAGCGTGATGAAGTCTATAACTTTGTGCTCCATCTCCAGCACAGTGGTGTTCTTGCCGTGGACCACAGTGATGCTGGGGATGCGTCCCGACTTGTCGTTGGCGAGTCCACCCGAAAATATCACATAGGTTTCACTGTGTACCAAAAGGTTGAACACGTTTTTAAGTGATCGCCATACGGAGTAAAACAAAACGTCTAACAAAACGACGCATAAAGTACATCTTGCAGAGGCACTAATATACAATATGTGATGTCACATTCCTTTTGACGTGACGGTAATTATTTACAGTACTATGCTGCAAATGGGCGACTTCCATTGAAACGAATGTCACATCATGTATTCACCAATAAGACAGCTTTTGACACGTAAACTAATGTGACGTCACATGAATTGTAATACAGTGAGTGCATGAGAAAGAAATATGTAGCTCCGTAGCTACGCACTGCACGCTGCACTCACCCTGAGCGCGCCACCTTCCATTCGACCTTGTCCACGGGCTTGCAGGCGTCGAGCTTGCCGTCCTTGTTGGGCTTGGCGTGCGGCAACAACACGCTCACGGGCTTGGCGCCCGGCCGCACGGCCCAGGTGGTGAGCGAGCCATCCTGGTGCGAACACATGAACTGCTTGCCGTCGTAGTGCCAGCCGGCCGAGCGCAGTCTCTCGGTGCTCTGCCACCGGAGCTCCGCCTGCTTCAGCTTCAAGTCCCACAGCGCCAGCTGCCCCGACTCGTACCCGATGAGCAGCTGTGACAAAAGATTCATCTCGTCAAAGTGAAACACAAATTATTCTTCACCGGAGTAATGTTTCGTCACATGATTGCAGATTTTAAACAATTTGATTCCTGATCACTCGTCCCCTCAAAACCAACTCACTTTGCTCGGATCGATGGGACAGTCACTGAGGTGTACCACGGGTCCCGGGTGAGTCTTTCGCGATCTGAAACATATAGGAATGTCACGATCCTGATGGACGTGATAGTACCGTCTGCCGCGGAATCTTATAGCGCTGGTGTCAAAAGGTCAGTCGAAAGAGACTGTGACACGTATTTTCACAGTATTCAGCAGACGGAACCGGCACTCACACTTCGATGGCCTTGTTCCAGTTGATGACGTAGCCTGACACGACGAACTGCTCGATGTTGATAATGTGGATATTTCCCTTTTCAGTGCCGACGTACAGCCATTTACTCTGCAGTGGGAGGTGCATGTAGGTTATCCTGGAACAATTTAAAGACCAATTAATTTGAGGTAAAAATAATCGAGACAAACTCTCCACTCTGGAAACTCAGGTGTGAGACAGTCTCACACCAAATGGTGTGGGGCAAAATACCTCACACCAAACGGTTTGAGGCAAACATACCTTACACCAAATGGTGTGAGACTCGTTGTGACTCACACTAAATGGTGTGAGACTCGTTGTGCCTCACACCAAATGGTGTGAGACTCGTCGTGCCTCACAGCAAATGGAGTGATACTTTCTCATACCAAATGGTGTGAGGCACAGAGGGTCTCACGCCATTTGGTGTGAGGCACAACTAGTCTCACACCATTTGGTGTGAGGCACAACTAGTCTCACACCATTTGGTGTGAGGCACAACTAGTCTCACACCATTTGGTGTGAGGTATGTTTGCCTCACACCGTTTGATGTGAGGTATTTTGCCTCACACCATTTGGTGTGAGACTGTCTCACACCTGAGTTTCCAGAGCAGTCGACATGAATATTTACAACGTTTAACGCGTCCCTTATTAGATGATAAGGGGGAGCGCAGCGTAGTGCGTTAAGGCATAAGATCTAGCTAAAAGCACAGCTAAAACCTTGCAAAGCAAAATGGCAGATCCTTTGCAAATACGAAGCAATGCCTAGTAAATGCAAAGCAATGAAATGCTTTGCGACGCGTCCTACGAACAAAGTTCGATCTTCCGGCGCGCCGTTCAACACTGTCCGATCTCCGGGCGCGCCGTTCAACAAAGTTCGATCTCCTGGCGCGCCGTTCAACGCTGTCCGATCTCCTTTTCAGCTTTCATCTGCACCGTAGGCTTCAAGCCGTGATATCTTCGTTGATAGTTCACTTAAAAGGAAACTAATAAATTCTATGTGTTCCTCAAAGATTACGCAACACATTGGACCAATAATAAAATGCTATGATCTTGACGAACAGACGTACAAGGCGTTTAAACTTCTACCTCGCTGCAAACCCCAAAAAGGAGATCGGACAGCGTTGAACGCTTGAACGGCGCGCCAGGAGATCGAACTTTGTTGAACGGCGCGCCCGGAGATCGGACAATGTTGAACGGCGCGCCGGGAGATCGAACTTTGTTCGTAGGACGCGTCGTTTGCTATTCTAAAAGGGTTTGACATTTTGCTTTGCAGGGTTTTAGCTGTGAGAAGGAAACTGGAATGAATGCATGCATGTGGAAGAGCGCCTTGTAGGCAGTGTAGTGCAGTATCAAGATAAAAGTGTCTAGATACTTTTTAGTAGTTCTTTGCGGTATATAGATAAATTTTGAGACCAATATCTTTTTTGAAAGCGCACAAATATTTTACTGTTATAATGCCTAGTTTTGAAGGTAATGTAGCCATTTGGGATTGTAGAGTATTGAATTCCTGACATTGTGCAATTGCCCATAAAACGCAATCTGAGTATTCTATTCACGGCAGAGAAACTGTCCAGGTATTCAAGGGGCTTTTTGCTGTTCCCACACTAAGTGCCGAAAACGACTTATTGTCAATTTGAACGTGAATAACTATAGCATTTTGCCACTAATCGTATCCGCGAATAAGAAGTTTTCGTTTTCTTTTGACGAACTGCATACAAATCACTGACTAGATTTTGATTCAAACATAATTAGGTTTTGACGTTTGCGG